GGCGCCGCTGAACCGGGCGCCGCGCCCCCGCAGCTGCCTGAGGCGCTGCTGCTCCAGAGGCGCCGCGTAACCGTGCGCAAGGCCGACGCGGGCGGGCTGGGCATCAGCATCAAAGGTGGGCGCGGGGGCACCCAGGGCACGGGTCGTGGTGTCTGTGGGACTGCCGAGGGCGTAGGGGTCTCGGGCTGGCAGCGCGTACTGAGGACGTGGAGTTGGAGGACTTCTGTCGAGGGTAAGGAGATCTGAGAGAATAGAGGGAAACGAAGGCACCCGGAGCACCAAGGTCGGAGAAGATTTTGAAAATCAGAGGTCGCAGTTGGAAGGCACAGGTGTGGAGGGTGTTGGGGGCGCACCAAGGACACGTGGGTGGGGAGTTCTGTGTGGAGGCTAAGAGACGTGAGACTGGTTCCCTCTCAGAGGTTGCATGGACACCAAGGACAAGAGAACTCCGAGGAGAGCAAAGGTTGGAGAAAGGGGAATGAGGCCTGGGATGCTGCTTGGGCAGGGAAGTGGAAGTCTTCAAGACACAGCCAAGGTGGGAGAGAGGGGTAACACTTGGAGTCAGGAGCACAGGGAGGGAGGCATTGGAAAGGTAAGTGAAGGTAACTGGCTGGGCTCATAGGCAGGGAGCCAGGAAGGGCCTAGAAATCAGAGGACCCAGGAAGGCTGTGTACCTAGGTGAAGAGCTCTGACAGTTGGGTTTGAGTTTCCTGATTTGACCATTTACACCTTGCAAAGGATTGAGAGGGACTCTCAGCCCCCAATGCTGACAGCTTTCTTTAGGGTACAACCCAGACTATGTTTCAGTCCAGGATCAGCTGTGTGAACTCAGACCTAAGTCATTTCCCTCTGGACCCGTTTCTTTAACTATGCAATGAGGGTAATAATAGTGTTGGGATGTTTCTATGAATACAGGAGTCTGAAGTACTCACCCTGCCAACACATAGTAGGTACCTGGTTAAGTTTTGCTGTTCGATGACAGGAAAATGGAGGCCAGGAGAAACTCCCAAAGTAACTAACCATAGTGCTAAATGGTTCACCATTCCTACCCATCTATTTCTCAGGCTCTGAGCCCCCAGAAGAGCACTAGCTGCCTTGGGAAAGGGTGGTGTCTGTCCTCATATTACCCTGGATGTGCACTGTTCCGTTGCCCTGGTGCTGGCTCTGTTCCTGGTGCTTCCAGACCCTTTGGTCTCAGTGAGGGGCCGGGGATGGTGGTGACTTGGCTACTACCACTGTGTGCCAAGTACTGTGCCCAGTACTTTAGGCTCATGATCCATTTCATCTTGGCAACAAGTGGTAAAAGGTAGAGAGCATACATAATCCTCATTTTGCAGGTGAAGAAACTGAGACTTAGAAAAGTAAAATGACTTTCCCAGGGTCACGCAGTTAGTAAGTGGCAGAGCTGGGATGTTAACCTCAATTATCAGG